CTTTCCCTGGCTTTTGTTTGTTTCGTTGGTTTTTATTTTTTAAAATACCTAGTTTTTAGGTTGAGAGCTGTTGTTGGGACCAGAGCTCACATCTCCTGGAACGCAGCCCCTGCACTACTTGCCTCCCCAGGTCATGTTCATAGAGCTCCCAAGCCAGGCTGGCCTTACTTCCAAGTGACTGATTAAGAGGAGGCAACCTCTGTCTTCGTTTAGACAACTTCTTGGTTTTCACTTCCTAAGTCATCCTGTTATGTCATGCCTCTGAGCTTCACATTGGTTTTGAGTTTGAAGATTCCCAGTTCACAAACTGTTCTTTTGTGCACAGTAAACTCTTACTGAATACTAAAAAAAAAAAACGGGCTTCCCTGGTGGCACAGTGGTTGAGAGTCCGCCTGCCGATGCACAGGACACGGGTTCGTGCCCCGGTCTGGGAAGATCCCACATGCTGCGGAGCGGCTGGGCTCATGAGCCATGGCCGCTGAGCCTGCGGGTCCGGAGCCTGTGCTCCGCGGTGGGAGAGGCCACAGCAGTGAGAGGCCCGTGTACCCGCAAAACAAAACAAAACAACCTAGTTTTTTTCTCATTTCAGGATTCTTGCACATACTGTTTTCCTCTTGTTCTAACACATATTGTCTACCTCCTATTTCTTCAAGTCTTAGCTTAAACATCATCTTGGGGAACTTATCCTGTCCCTGCTTCACTAGCTTAAGTCTGTCTATAATGCATTCTTTTTTTAATTCATAAATCTATTTATTTTTGACTGCGTTGGGTCTTCATTGCTGCTCACAGGCTTTCTCTAGTTGCAGCGAGCGGGGGCTACTCTTTGTTGCGGTGCACGGGCTTCTCATTGCAGTGGCTTCTCTTGTTGCGGAGCATGAGCTCTAGGTGCTCCAGTAGTTGTGGCACACAGGCTCAGTAGTTGTGGCTCGCGGGCTCTAGAGTGCAGGCTCAGTAGTTGTGGCACACAGGGTTAGTTGCTCTGTGGCATGTGGGATCTTCCTGAACCAGGGCATGAACCCGTGTCCCCTGCATTGGCAGGTGGATTCTTAACCACTTCACCATCAGGGAAGTCCCTATATTGTATTCTTATACTTTCCTGTATTTTTTTTTCTTCATGGCATTATCACAATTGAAATAAAATAAAATAAAATAAAATAATTTGTGTAATTATTCATTTGTATGTTCTCCCTGTAGATCGTTACCCCCACTAGTGTAGAAACTGTCTACGTTGTTCATCACTGTATCCTCACTCTCTAGCACAGTGTCCAACATGTAGTAGATATTCAATAAATAACTGTGGAAGAATTATGGATATATGTGTAAAGTCTGTATGATTTTTTTTTTTTAGGTTAAAGAAAGACCTGATGTGGGAGTTTATATCAAGGATTTATCAGCTTATGTGGTAAATAATGCTGATGATATGGATAGAATTATGACACTGGGCCACAAAAATCGTAAGTATAGTGCTTAATTGTGATTAAACATTTATGTGTGGAGTAGGCTCTTTTAGAAGCAAACCTGGTATGGCATTCTGCGCCATAAAGATTGGATTTTTAGGTTTCTTGAAAACCCTTCCTCTTTGACTATTTACTATGTGGAAAGCATATATGAATGAAAGATATCATAGATTGCTTTCCATGCTGACCAAAATTTTGTTACTTAGCAATAGTGCTATATCTTTGAGACTCTCATATCGCTGTCTCTTGTTAGTAATAATAATATTGGTAACATTTATTGAGTACTTACTGTGTGGCAAGTGCTTGTTCAAATGCTTTATAAGAATGATCTCTTTTAATCCTGAAAATGGGCTATGAAGGTATTAAATTCCTATGTTATGAATGAGGAAACTGAGACTTAAAGTAAATTTTCCAGGTCATATATTACTTAATAAGTAGCAGAGTGAGCATTTGAATCTATACCATTAGTCAGCATTAACCAGGCACCTCCCTTTTGTTGACAAGAAAAGCAAACAAAATTAAATAAAGTGGCATTCTTTTTAGTAATTGTTTCAAGTTTTTTCTAAAGAATAAAAAGTTTCAGCAATATTGCTGATGCCCCAGCCCTAGTACTAATGATGTTGCTAACAGCAATTAGAGATTAGAGGTAAAAGAAAAGAACATAGGAAATAACCTTTTTTTTTTTTTTTTTTTTTTTTTTCAGTTTTTTGTGACTAGACTAAAAATCTAGCAAACTCAGGGAAACAAAGCAAAAATTTTTAAAATTCAATTGTATTCTTATAAACCAAATAATAGAAAAATACCAAAATTTTAAAAGGAAAATGAGCAAAAGATGTTTATGACTATGTTATTCATAGAAGAACTATACACAGCAGTAAGTATATGAAAGGATGTTTGACTTCACAAGTAATCAGGAAAATGCCTATTAAAACAACAATGGAAGATGTTTTACCCATCAGTTTGGATGAAAGGATATTCAGGTTGGTGAGGCTCTAAGGAAATGGGCAATGGTGATGGGAATATACAGCCTTTTTGAAGGGCAGGATAATTGTATCTTTTGAAATTTTTAAGGATGCATTCCTTTGACCCACTGTTTCTATTTGTAGATATATATTCTAGAAAAATATTTTTTGGTGTAAACAAAAAAAATACCTTATTACAGCATTACTTGTAATAGCAAAAAGTTTGACACAACCTAAATAACTGTCAATAAAACATAGGTTATATAAATTATGGTGCAAAAATATTATGGACTATAATGGAGCTGTAAAAAAAAAAAAACAACAGTGAGTTAAATCTACATGTAGAGACCCAAAAGACTTTCCAGATATATATTAAGGGAAAAAGAAAGCTAACTAGCACAGTATGTAATGCATCATCCCATGTGTAAAAAAAACCAAATCATCAAACTACATATTTGGGTATTTTGTGTGTGTGTTCACATGTATGTATGTGAAATACAAAATGAAAGGACATTTAATAGTGGTTACCTTTAGTGAAGGGGAAATAAGATTGGGGGAAAGGGATATAGGGAGCTTTCACTTTATGTTTTTTGTATGTTTGTATTTTTGAATTTTTTATACCAGGAATATGTTCATGTATTGCTTATTTAACTTAAGAAATTTTTAACATAAGATTCCATTCACAATAGTGACCAAAACCTTCCATTAACTACCTAAGAATTAATTTAACTTGGTATGTGAGATTTGTCTAAGGAAAAATGAAAAAATTCTAATGAGAAATAAAATGAAAGGCAGGTAAAGAGATTTGAACACCTAAGATAGCAGAGAGGAAAATAGTCTTCATTAATAAATAGATTGAGTTCAAGAATTAAAGGTTTAGCTGCAGGGGGGGCCCTCCTGCACTGCTGGTGGGAATGTAAATTGGTGCAGCCACTATGGAGCACAGTATGGAGGTTCCTCAGAAAACTAAAAATAAGAGTTGCCAGATGATCCAGCAATCCCACTCCTGGACATATATCCAGACAAATCTATAATTTGAAAAGATACATGCACCCCTATGTTCATAGCAGCACTATTCACAATAGCCAAGGCATAGAAACAACCTAAATGTTCATCAACAGATGAATGGATAAAGAAGGAATATTACACAATGGAATATTACTCAGACATAAAAAAGAATGAAATAATACCATTTGCAGCAACAAGGAGGGACCTAGAGATTATCATATTAAGTCGGAAAGAAAAAGACAAATACCATATAATATCACTTACGTGGAATCTAAAATACAACACAAATGGACACATTTATGAAATGGAAACAGATTCATAGCTACAGAGAACAGATTTGTGGTTGCCAAGGAGGAGGGGGGTGGGGAAGAGAAGGATTGGGATAAGTTTTTCTGTACCTCCTTGAAAAACATAAAAATTTAATTTTTTATTCCAAAATAAATATTTTGACAAAGATTACAGCTATGGAAATGTTTTATTTCCATTATGCAGTGTGTTAGGTTGGATCATTTAGTCTACTTGATTGCTGCAAGCTGTTCTCTCCTAGGGATTGTAAAGTTCAGTGTAGGTCACTTTTGACATAACATCTGTTGCATTGCTTTGTTTTCATAACTGGAAATATAGAAAAATCACAATCATAAATAGCATGCTTTAATTATATTGCAAAAACAATGGGTATTAAAATATTTAATATGACTTTTTCAAATTACACTTTATCTCCCACTCCAAACTGAAAAACACTGCTATAGCTTGTTTTGATAATCACATAGCTATAAAACTATTCCTATCCTTTCATAAGGTAGTTCCAGTTTGGAAAATACATCCCATGGATATAATTATAAAGAGAAAGAAAGGTATCTGCTCAAAGATGCTCATATTAGTGTCCCTTATGAAGAACTAAAATAAGCAACACCCCAAATATCTCCCAGTAAGGTAATAACTCAATTTTAGTAAAAATTTCAAGTTGGTTTTTACATGGAAATATATGCAGGAGATATGTAGGAGATAATGTTAAGTGGAAAAAAAACAAGGTAAAATAAGACCTACTACTCTGTGGAAATATGTATAGTGTGTTACATCTGATTAGATGATTTGAAGTGGTGTCAGATTTATTAGTTTTTTATATTTTTGGAGAAAAATTTATTTTAAAAAGTCATAACTTGATTTAAAAGTAAACAGAAAAGTATAGTATGGAATCACAGATCCTTGCATTTTCCCTCACTGATTTTCCATTTACCTTCTTTCATTGGGCTTTACTTTTCTTTACCAGTGCAATTTGCTTTCTAGTTATCTGACTTATAATATAGCCATTTGCTAATAAAGAGTATGCTTTTGATGTTTAAATTGTAAAATCACAGCTCACATGGAGAAGCTCTACATCAATATAGTAGGAAAATAATTTTGGCATTGGGTGAAATTAACATATTGCTTTTAAAATACTTTGGAATTTAAGAAAAAAAAACCCAATACATGCCTATTGTGAAAAACAAAACAGATCTTTTTCTTTGTTTGCACAATATATTCATGTAAAATATTTATACACACTCAAATTCTTAGCATATTTTGAATGGATGCTTTTGTTTTACAGAAATGGGATTATACTCTACATTCCTTTCTTATTTTCATATGTTATGGGTATCTTTCCATGTCATTCAGATCTACCTTATTTTTTTAAAAAAAGATGCTTAGTAATTCATAGTGTGACTATTCTATAATTGATTAACCACTGTCATATTGGTTGTTTCTGATCTCTCGCTGTTGTAAACAGTTCTTCCCTGAATATCTTTGTATCATCTAATGTATATATGCAAGTATTCCTGTGGTTGATTCCCAGAACATATCAATAATACTTTTTAGAGACAGCTGAAACAGCAGTTAATTTTTTGAATTATTTAACATGTATTTTTAATGTAAATTAGTTAATTTTTTAAGCCAGCAATACTTGAAATTAAGTATTTTGTCCTCAAATCCCCTCTTTCATGTGAAAAAAATACAGTTTTTTGTTATCAGCATAAATGGTCAGAAATTTCTAATAATGTCTAAATATACGTAAGTTTTTATGTTTTAGCCATGCTCTCTGGCTTTTGACTCTGATGAAATTCAGTATTCTGGATATTTAATTATTTTTAAAGGCATTCCCTGTTGTTATAGTTTTAAATAATTTCCTCCCTTTATTCAAGGTTCTGTTGGTGCAACTAATATGAATGAACATAGTTCCCGTTCCCATGCCATCTTTACAATTACTATAGAATGCAGTGAAAAAGGCGTTGATGGTAACATGCATGTCAGGATGGGGAAGCTCCACCTTGTAGATCTTGCTGTAAGTAACAGGATGCTACTTAAGAATAACTCTTGTGATTTCTTTTTATTTTATAAATAAATAATAATTCAAGTGAAAAGGGGGATTATATAATTTTTAAGTTTTACTTGTATATGTGTTTAACTTATTCTTTTTTTAAATATTTATTTATTTATTTGGCTGCGCCAGGTCTTAATTGCGGCACGTGGGATCTTCGATTTTTGTTGTGGCATGCGGGATCTTTAGTTGCGGCACACGAACTCTTAGTTGCGGCATGTGAGATCTAGTTCCCTGACCAGGGATTGAACCCGAGCTCCCTGCATTGGGAGTGCGGAGTCTTAGCCACTGGACCACTAGGGAAGTCCCCTTAACTTACTACTAATTATGGACTATTTCAAACCTATACAACGTAGATAGAATAGTATAATGATTTCCCATGTACCCATCACCCAACTTCAGCAATTATCAGTTCATGGCCAGTCCTATTTCATCTCTACCCTCAGCCACTTCTTCCCTTCCAGTATTATTTTGAAGTGAATTCCAGATATATTAGATTTTTTACTGTTAAAATACTTTAACTTTGAGGGGGCTTCCCTGGTGGTGCAGTGGTTGAGAGTCCGCCTGCTGATGCAGGGGACACGGGTTCGTGCCCCAGTCCGGGAGGATCCCACATGCCTTGGAGCGGCTGGGCCTGTGAGCCGTGGCCGCTGAGGCTGCGCGTCCGGAACCTGCTCTCCGCAACGGGAGAGGCCACAGCAGTGAGAGGCCCGCGTACCACAAAAAATAATAATAAAATGAAATATGAAAAAAAAATACTTTAACTTTGGGAAGAATATTCTGTATTTTTTATTTTAGCTTTACTTCTGTCTCTCTTTATTGTAAGGGTTCAGAAAGGCAAGCAAAAACTGGAGCTACTGGGCAGCGCCTGAAAGAAGCTACAAAAATCAATCTTTCACTTTCTACCCTTGGTAATGTTATTTCTGCCTTGGTTGATGGAAAAAGCACTCATGTGCCTTATCGTAACTCTAAATTGACTCGTCTTCTTCAGGATTCCTTAGGAGGAAATTCAAAAACCATGATGGTAAGACTTAATTGGTCGTATAGTTATCATCAGGAAAATTTAAGATTCCTGCTTATGCCAGTAATTAATATTCATAACATTTTAAAAACTATTGATTATTTTACTTTTTAAAATTTGGGGTTATTTTTTCTAGCACACCATGTGTGCGAGTCTATAATTGTATTGTTTGGAAACCTATGTGGTGGTGCCCTCTTTTTCAAGAAGACCGGAATGGAAATATATTCCAAAATTCTTTTTGATATGTTCATAATGGTAGTATTAATTTGTGTCAAGTGTGAAACGTTTTGTATTCCTAATTCAACAGTGTGCAAATATTGGACCAGCAGATTACAATTATGATGAAACCATCAGTACATTGCGGTATGCTAATCGTGCTAAGAATATTAAAAATAAAGCTAGAATTAATGAAGATCCAAAGGATGCTTTGCTTCGTCAGTTTCAGAAAGAAATAGAAGAACTGAAAAAAAAGCTTGAAGAAGGTAACATTTTCTCAAAATATTAATCTTAATGTTGGCTAAAAACGTGTTGTTTAGCCAGTAAGTGTTCTAATAAAAAGCCACCTATTAAAAATTCTCTGAACCTCTAACATTGATATTTAAGGGGATATTTCTGCAAGGTAAATTGATACTTACATACTTTAACATTTCCATATTAAGCTCAAGTAGAATTATATAATATTTGTGTATTGATTTTTTTTAAAAATTCATTTAATTTAAACCTCCATCTCAGTCCCCATGATCTTTTGTAAAGATTTCATATGTCCACTTATTAAATAATGAATTTTTTTTGTCTCTATATAAGAGCAAGTTCTACCATACATGTATTTAGCGAAAATGACCAGAGTTCTTTGTGATAGGTATCAGTCACTGTTACTTGAAGTAAACAAAGCAATCAGAGAGTCATGGGTAAACCTAGTTTACTCTTAAGTAGAAATTCATTGCATGGCCTTGAAAATATGCTTTCATGTTTAAATTTGAACATGAGATTCTATTTTGGAAATTCTTTTCTAACAAGGTATAATGTCAGAAGGTTAGAAAATTTGAAGACCTTATTCATTAGGGTGAGAAATTTACCAACCATCATTAGGCAGTCAGTGACTCCCTGAATCTTAGTGCTAAGAACTAACTGGCATAGGGCTCCTTTGCATACCAGGTGAATAAAGGGCTTTGAAATTGCCTCTTTTCAGTCTGTGGGGAAACTGGTTAGATCAGATATGAAATCCAGAGATGCCAACATCACAAACATTTGGAGAAGGTGCTGCTTCAATAAATTTGAGTAAGATTACTGAGGAAAAGCAGTAATTGAGCTGCCTCTTAGATAATGGAATTTGGTATTTTAAATGTGACCACTAGGTGGTATTTATAGTCAGTATGTTTTAAAGATGTAAAATTTCTTAGATTTCTTAATATTGAGTTCATATCTTTATTTTGCTGACCCTTTTTTTAACATGTTTTTATTGTGGTAAAATATACATAACATAAAAATTACCATTTTAACTATTTTTGTGTACAGTTCTGTGGCATTAAGTACATTCACATTTTTCTGCAACCATCACCACCATCCATCTCCAGGACTTTTTAATCATCCCAAAATGAACCTTTGTACCCATTAAACACTAGCTCGCCATCCCTCTCTCTCCCTCAGTCCCTGGTAACCCACTGTTCTACTTTCTATTTCTATGAATTTGACTATTCTAGGTACCCCATGTAAGTAGAATCATATAATATGTCTCCTTTTGTGTCTGGCTTATTTTACTTAACATAATGTCCTCAGTGTTCATCCATATTGTTGCATGTGTCAGAATTTCCTTCCTTTTTAAGACTGAATAATATTCCATTGTGTGTATATACCATGTTTTGTTTATACCTTCATCTGTTGATGGACCCTTGGGTTGCTTCTATCTTTTGACTGTTGTGAATAATGCTACTATGGATGTGGGTGTACAAATTCCTGTTTGAGTCCTTGCTTTCAATTCTTTTGTTCTTTCGGGTATATACCCAGAGGTAGACTTGCTGGATAATGGTAATGCTGACTTTATTTTTAATAAATTTCATTTTATTTATGCTCTTAGGACATATTGTTTTTATAATCCAGTTAATAGAGTTAATCAGAAAAACAATTAAAAAATAGGCAGAAACATTAAAAGAATAATTTTTTAACTTTTTATTTTGAAATAATTTTAGGCTTATAGAAAACTCACAAGTATAGCAAGGAGAGTTCTCATATACCTATTAGCCAGCTTCCCCTAATGTTAGCATCTTACATAACCATGGTACAATCATTGACACCAGGAAATTCACAGTGATACAAACTTATTAACTAATCCACAGACCTTACTAGACTTTTGACAGTTTTCTCTCTAATGCCCTTTTCCTCTAGTCCAAGATCCAGTTGTGGATCACACATTACATTTAGTTGTCATGTCTGTTTAGTTTCCACCAGTCTCCAATTCCTCAGTCTTTATTTGTTGCACATGATCTTGATGCTTTTGAAGAGTACTGGTCATGTATTTGTAGAATGTTCCTCAATTTGTATTTATTTATAGTTTTCTCATAATTTTTCTGCAAATTTTCTCCACTATAAATCTACTATTTTATTATTTCCTTTGTAATTAACGTGTATCTTGTGGAGAGATATTGGGTTGGCCAAAAAGTGCCTTCGGTTTTTAAGTAAAAATAAAAGACACATTTTTCGTCTTCACCAAGAACTTTATTGAACAACATATTCACCCTTTTGTTCCAGTACCTTCTGCTGTTGTTCAGGCAACTTCATAATTCCATCTTACCAAAACTTTTTATCTTTTTGAGCAAAGAACTGTTCCAGGTGCCTTTTATAGTCTTCCAGGGAATTGAAATTTTTTCCATTAAGAGAATTTTGTAAAGACCAAAATAAATGGAAATCTGAAGGTGCAATGTCAGGTGAATATGGCAGATGAATCAGAACTTCCCAGACAAGGTGTAACAGTTTTTGCCTGGTCATCAAAGAAACCTGCCGTCTTGCGTTATCCTGATGGAAGATTATGCATTTTCTGTTGACTAATTCTGGATGCTTTTCATCGAGTGCTGCTTTCAGTTGGAATTAATCGTTTGGTTTTCCAGAAGGAGTTCATAATAGAGGACTCCCTTCCAGTCCCACCATATGCACAACATCACCTTCTTTGGATGAAGACCGGCCTTTGGTGTGGTTGGTGGTGGTTCATTTAGCTTGCCCCACGATCTCTTCCATTCCACATTATTGTACAGTATCCGCTTTTCATTGCCCATCACGATTTGTTTTAAAAATGGAATGTTTTCATTACCTTTGTGTAGAGAATTGCATTAGGATATACTGTCAAGAAGTTGTTTTTTCCACTTAACTTATGTGGAACCCAAACATCAAAGCGATTAACATAACCAAGCTGGGGCAAATGATTTTCAACGCTTGATTTGCATATTTTGAGTATGTCGGCTATCTCCTGCGTGGTATAACGTTGATTGTTCTCAATTACTGTCTCGATTTGATTGCTATCAACTTCAACTGGTTTACCAGACTGTGGAGCATCATCCAGTTAGAAATCTCCAGCACGACCCTTCGCAAATCACTTTTGACACATTTGATCAGTCACAGCACCTTCTCCATACCTGCGCAAATCTTTCTTTGCATTTCGGTTGTGTTTTTACCTTTCTTGAAATGATAAAGCATAATATGCCAAAAATGTTCCTTTTTTTCTTCCATCTTCAGTATTAAAATGGGTACACAAAAATTCACCAGCTTTGATGTCTTTTTTTAAGTACACGTTGATGTGACAGCTGTCACATACAATCTAACAAAATTGTTTCGAATGAAGTTAAAGACAACTAAGTGCTACTAGAGCCATCTTCTGGAAAAAAGCCGAATGAACTTTTTTTTAAATTATGTTTTATATTTTTACTTTTAAAATTTTATTTTTTATACAGCAGTTTCTTATTAGTTACCTATTTTATACATATTAGTGTATATATGTCTATCCCAGTCTCCCAGTTCATCCCACCACCACCCACCCCCTGCTTGGTGTCCATACGTTTGTTCTCTACATCTGTGTCTCTGTTTCTGCTTTGCAAACCCGCCAAATGAACCTTTTGGCCAACCAAATACTTTGAGACTATACAAAGGTCCTGTTTTCATCATACTTTCTTCAACTAGTGTTAGCATCCAACAGTAGTTTGTGCATTTGCTCAATGGTGGCATTCTCTTCCCATTGTTCCTTCTAATGTTTAGTGTTTGGAGTGTCTGGAATTCTACTGTAAGGAAAAGCAGTCTCTTCTCCCCCACTTGTTTATTTATTTGAGTATTTTTTATGTCATTATGGACTCATGGATAATTATTTTAGTCTGTGGGTTTATAATACAATAATATTATTTATTTTATTGTTCAGATTGTTCCAGCTTTCGCCATTAGGAGTTCCTTTAGGGTAGTTCATATATCCTGTCAGCATGCTCCCATCAGTTTGTTTGTTTACTTGTTTTTTGAGCACTTCCTCACTTTCTGGCACCACAGATGCTTAGAGCTCATTTTTTTATTTTCCCTACCCTGGCCTTAAAATCATTTATTTCTTCCTGGCTCCTTTCATGGGAGAATGGTATTTAGAAACCAAGATTTAGGCATTAGGTGTGCTCATTGCTACCAGGGTGTCATTGTTTCTAGGCCTAAAGAACAAAATATGTTTAATGAAATTCTTCTCCCAAGACTGTGATTTCTTTCCATCTTTTATTTGCAGGTTCAAATATTATATTATGATTAGTGTATATTTTACTCCTCCCCCAGTTACTTTTATTTTCTTAGACATTTCATATGTGGACAGTAGTCATTTTAAATAACTACTTTGAAGGTATTATAGCACTGATTTGCATTAATATTAGCTTAATCCCTTTTTTTGATTTTTGAAGTTAACATATTTATGTACAAATAAGCCCTTCTTCTTTTGAATTACTTCATGTGATATAGTCCTAAAAGTGGGATCATTGTGTTCGATGACAGTCTTATGGCCCTTAAAAAAATAAACAGGTTGAATGAATTTAAAATCTTAAACAGAAAACTAAGAAAATGCTCCCCAAAAGTGATCATATTTTTTAAAGACTGAAATAATAACTCTAACATGTAACATTTAGAACTGTACTTAAACTAATAATTGGAAATTTTAAACGGATCAGAATCTAACTTCTCTTTAGGAACTTTAAAAATAAAGCCTCTGTGTACATTGTATCTGTTTCTGAGGTTAGCATATCTGATATACTGTCTAGGAATATTAAAATAAGGTTTGTTTAGGGCACAAAAACTTAATGAAGAAAGTTTATATAGGCATTTCCTAAATAGCCAATGACGTGGTGCAGAATAAACATCATTGTATTAAATTTCTGTTTAAGGGGAAGAAATATCAGGCTCTGATATCAGTGGGTCAGAGGAGGATGATGATGAAGAGGGTGAGGTTGGAGAAGATGGAGAGAAAAGGAAAAAAAGAAGGGGTAAGTTCATTTTAGTGTTCTGGAAATTAAATGAGATTGCTGCCTAATGATGGTTTAACATTCCTAAGGCTGTCAAGTACATGCCTTTTATTTTGCTATTTTTAATTGTGGTAGCAATTAGAACAGAGGAAGTATGCCATATACCTGGTTAACTTCGCATTATTTTTTCCTCCTATACTGATCTCCTATTTCTAGATGAATCAGCATATAATATATTCTGGTTTGGTTTTTTTTTTTACAATTTAGAATTATAAAAATCTGTGATAGTGGATATACCATTTTAAAATTTCACATGGGGTTTTAATTTAATGTGAGGACTTTATGTTAGGAATCTAAATTTTTAGGAAATTAGGATAATGTGGAATTTTTTTTTCAAACATGATTACGCTTTAATCATTGAATTTTTAAGTAATAAATTTGTAGAAGGATTGTATTTTTAATAGAATGTAAAATGTATTCTCTTTATAAAATGTACCCTCATTCTCACCTGTTACACTGGGTACTTGTTGCCAAGTATGAATTGAGACTGTGTTCATTGTGATAAAGATATAGATGACATGCAAAAGAGAGAGACATATTATAATGGCCTACATTTCAAATCCTTTAACCCTGAATATTTATTCCAGAACTCTCTTCCATTAATGTGGATCATTGTTTTCAAGCTGGTGCATATTTTGTTTGTCTTATTAAAATGTTCTTGCTGAAAATAAACCCATCGCTGTTTGATCAGGTGTCCCAAATTTAAAAGCCATGAAGGGTCCTTTCAAAAGACAGGGAAAATATAATTTAGAGCAAGAGTTGGCAAGTAGTCTGCTGGCCAAATTCAGCCCACCACCTGTTTTTGTAAATAAAAGTTTATGAAACAGCCATGCTCATTTGTTTACATATGGTCTACAGCTGCCTTCACATACGTCTGTCTGGCCTACAAAGCCTAAAGCACTTATCATTTGTCCCTTTACAGAAAATGTTTGCTGACCCCTGATTTAGAGAAGTGGTTTTGTGTTCACACCTATTTTTTCAGAGTAAAGTATTCAAAGATAAAGCAGATGATAGATTTGTTAAAAATAAAGTTTTAAATAGAAAAAAATGCTACTGCTTAATATGTTAAAATATTTAATAGTAACATATCTTCCTTCCAGGCTTAGAAATTTTAAAAATTTCAGTAAGCCTTTCAAAGTTTTGCTGTGAAACCTTAAACATATATAATCACATCTGATAGTTTGATGTTTTGGAGGTGAAAGAGTGAAATTGAAGACAAACCAAACTGTCTGTATTAAAGGGTAATTTATCATTCCTGTAATTTTAATTGTTCGTGACTTTAAAACTCAATTCCTTTAGCTTATCAATCTAAATGGTTTAAATAGACTTAAATGTCACCAAATGATTTGTTTATTTTTATTCTTTTCATTCCAACCCTCTGAATTACTATATTTCAAGTGAATAGTGGGGTTTGCCCACTGTGGATACTTAAAGGAATAGAGTTTCTAATTCCCCTGTATGGCTTTGTAATTAGAGAATACTGCACAGACTACCAAGACTGGTTTTAAGGGAAAGTAGGTTTTGGTTCTTTAATACAAAGCTTGATTGTCCTTTAAAATTATTTCTTTGGAATTGAATTTTTCTCTGTGTATGTGTTCATTTTCTTGTTTCCTCTTTCTTTGGTTCCCGTTGGGCTCATTTCTTTGTCTTCCAGGCAGTAGCAGCAGCAGTAGTTCAGACTCCACATGTTCTGTCATAGAGAAACCTCTGGATAAGTTCTTGCCTAGTGAGTGGTAGCTCTTAAATTCTCTAACAGAGCTTTGGCTTTTCCATAACCCATGGGCTTCATTTGAGAAATGCTGCACTGCTCCCTGTCATTACTTAAAGAATACATGTTGGACTTCTCAGTAAAACAAAGCATGTGATGACTTTAGCTCCCCTCTTCATTGCTTCCAGTTAGCCATAATTGTTAAAACATATGCTTATGCTTATGTTTGAGACAATGGAAGAGAGAGTCATGCTTTTGCAGTTGAGATAATGTAAAGAGAGCTAGTAAGCTGTGTAAGATAATAACTCTTGGTTCCTTTTTATGTTTCATGATACATCCTAGTCAGGTAAGGGACCTGTAATAACAAAATCCTGAATTTCTTAAGGTACACCTTATATTCGGAAGTACACCAGTGCCCTTTATAACATGTCTTATAGTTAAAAAGATTTTACTCCTTGGTGTCCTGTTCTTAGGGGTAGCTTAAGATTGAAAACTCCCTAATAAAGAAAAATGTAAAGTTTGAAGCAAGTAAAGATAAATTGAATGGTATTTTATTTCAAATGGCCATTTATCCCTATTTCTGAATTACCTGATTGATTTTAAGAAACTTTCTAAGGTATGATTAGAGAATTCAGATCCACACGAACTTGTTATGCAGGATCTATCTAGACTTATTTCAAACCTAAAGGCCTTTTCTTACACTGTAATTTAATAAATTAAGTTGAAAAGTATTATTAATTTTATTTATATTTTAGTTTTCAGAAGAAAAGAGAATTGATGCTTTCTTGTACTAGTTTGCAGCTTACTGCTTTTTAAAGCATTATCTGTATACCTACCTTTCCAAAACTAATAACAAAAACATTTGGTTATTGTTCTTATGCTTTTAGCTTGCTAGAGGAAGACTTCCAAGAATATTAGGAATTATTTTCTCTATTGCAATTCTTACATTTTACCAAGACAATTAATTTCATAGGCTAACCTATAAAATACATGAAATTGCTTTAGAAACCATGTAGAAGTCTCATTTTGTATTACAAACTGCAAAATATAGAAAATATCTGAGTGGGAGGCATTATAATTTAATTTTCTGTTTTAAAATTTTACTTTAATCCTTAGAAAGTAGTTACATCAAAGTATATTATGAAATGAGTTGTACCTTGTTCAGTTCAAGCAGTTTTAGTTACTCTTTATATACCTGGCATATAACATTGAATTCTTTTGTTGCACTGTGGATGTGTTGGTGAAGTGGAGAGATGGTTGTCCCAGCATGTGGTTGCTGTGCGTACCTTCCCTTTTAAAAATATGAATGGCCTTTTTTTTTTAAGGTGTTCTTTGTTTGAACTATCAGTTGATCATTTACTTCTGTAGAATCATTATTATAATTACCCTTAACAGTCTACTAATAGATTGAATGCAAGTTTGTTATTATACAGGTGTACTTCACTTTATGCAATAAATGTTTTTTTCTGAAAAAGTTGCTTATAAATCAAGTTGGGAAATCAATTGTATTGGGAGAACTTGCTGTCTTTAAAAATTCTTTATTAAATGCTTTTGTTAATCACATAATCACTACAGATTACTCTAAACTCTAGTTGGTTGAAGTATTTGTGTTGGATTTTCTTAAAGGGGGGCACACCTGTAATGTATCCTTCTATTAGAAGGTCATTGAATTGGGAAATTTCAAAAGTGAAAAATGTGACTTCTGCTACTTTTAACTTATTAATATTTAAAATTGGTTTAATTTTCTGTTTGCCCTTTTAGATTACTTCCCAGGTCTTAGCAGGTTCCCAATTCCATGTCCACCATTTGTTGCTGAACTGTTATGTTTGCAGGAGTTTGGGAGTCAGTGTGAGCTCTTAAGATTGATTTGAATTGTAATCTTACACTAAATCTTATTATCTTGCTTAAATTATTATCTCAGATTATGTTGAATATACTTTTTGCATACAACTGCTCTATTTCAGCTTTTATAATGATTTATTCCTATACTTATACTATAAATAAACGCTGTTATACATTTTTCTTTGTTTTACAAAAGAAATAATGTTTTTCCTTTTTTTCCTCCTCATCTCTGTGCATATGCTTCCTGTCTACGGTTTGCTTACTACTTCTTATTGAAAGATCAAGCAGGTTGGTGTGATTGATTTGTACTCCATGTGGTACAGTTATTTAAAGTATAAAGAACTTTGTTGTTTAACCACATTATTTTTTTTATTTAATGATTTTTTTTTTACAAGGTAAGTATCTGTCTTTGTATTTTAAAATATCTTTCAACTTTAGCTTTTTTTAAAAAAAACCTTCCTTTTTTACTAAATTCTTTTTAAAAAATTTATTTCAGTTTTTATTGAGGAAGGTATTAGGAACATTTTTTTTCAATTTTATTTTATTTATTTTTTTATACAGCAGGTTCTTATTAGTTATCCATTTTATACATATTAGTGTATACATGTCAATCCCAATCTCCCAATTCATCCCACCCCCCACCACCACCCCGCCACCACTTTACCCGCTTGGTGTCCATATGTTTGTTCTCTATATCTGTGTCTCAATTTCTGCCCTGCAAACCAGTTCATCTATACCATTTTTCTAGGTTCCACATATATGCGTTAATATACAATAGTTGTTTTTCTCTTTATGACTTACTTCACTCTGTATGACAGTCTCTAGATTCATCCACGTCTCAACAAATGACCCAATTTCGTTCCTTTTTATGGCTGAGTAATATTCCATTGTATATATGTACCACAAGTTCTTTATCCATTCTTCTGTCAGTGGGCATTTAGGTTACTTCCATGACCTGGCTATTGTAAATAGTGCTGCAGTGAACATTGGGGTGCATGTGTCTTTTTGAATTATGGTTTTCTCTGGGTATATGCCCAGTAATGGGATTGCTGGGTCATATGGTAATTCTATTTTTAGTTTTTTAAGGAACCTCCATATTGTTCTCCATAGTGGCTGTATCAATTTACATTCCCACCAGCAGTGCAAGAGGGCTCCCTTTGCTCACCACCCTCTCCAGCATTTGTTGTTTGTAGATTTTCTGATGATGCCCATTCTAACTGGTGTGAGGTGATACCTCATTGTAGCTTTAACTTGCATTTTTCTAATCATTAGTGATGTTGAGCAGCTTTTCATTTGCTTCTTGGCCATCTGTATGTCTTCTTTGGAGAAATATCTATTTATGTCTTCTGCCCATTTTTGGATTGGGTTGTTTGTTTGTTTGTTTAACATCTTTATTGGAGTATAATTGCTTTACAATGGTATGTTAGTTTCAGCTTCACAACAAAATGAATCAGTTATATATATACATATGTTCCCATATCTCTCTTCCCGCTTGCGTCTCCCTCCCTCCCACCCTCCCTATCCCACCCCTCCAGGAGGTCACAAAGCACCGAGCTGATCTCCCTGTGCTATGTGGCTGCTTCCCACTAGCTGTCTACCTTACGTTTGGTAATGTATATATGTCCATGCCTCTCTCTCGCTTTGTCTTTTTAATATTGAGCTGCATGAGCTGTTCATATATTTTGGAGATTAATCCTTTGTCCATTGATTCGTTTGCAAATATTTTCTCCCATTCTGAGGGTTGTCTTTTAGTCTTGTTTGTAGTTTCCTTTGCTCTGCAAAAGCTTTTAAGTTTCAGTAGGTCCCATTTGTTTATTTTTGTTTTTATTTCCATTACTCTAGGAGGTGGATCAAAAAAGATCTTGCTGTGATTTATGTCAAAGAGTGTTCTGTCTATGATTTCCTCTAAGAGTTTTATAGTGTCCGGTCTTATATTTAGGTTTCTAATCCATTTTGAGTTATTTTTATGTATGGTGTTAGGGAGTGTTCTATTTTCATTCTTTTACATGTACCTTTCCAGTTTTCCCAGCACCACTTATTTGAAGAGACTGTCTTTTTTCCATTGTATATGCTTACCTCCTTTGTCATAGATTAGTTGACCATAGGTGTGTGGGTTTATCTCTGGGCTTTCTGTCCTGTTTCATTGATCTGTATCTCTATTCTTCTGCCAGTACCATATTGTCTTGATTACTGTAGCTTTGTAGTATAGTATGAAGTCAGGGAGTATGATTCCTGCAGTTTCGTTTTTTTTCCTTCAAGACTGCTTTGGCTATTCGGGGTCTTTTGTGTCTCCATACAAATTTTAAGATGTTTTGTTCTAGTTCAGTAAAAAATGTCATTGGTAATTTGATAGGGATTGCACTGAATCTGTAGATTGCTTTGGGTAGTATAGTCATTTTCACAATATTGATTCTTCCAATCCAAGAACATGGTATATCTCTCTATCTCTTGGTATCATCTTTAATTTCTTTCATCAGTGTCTTATAGTTTTCTGCCTACAGGTCTTTTGTCTCCCTAGGTAGGTTTATTCCTAGGTATTTTATTCTTTTTGTTGCAATGGTAAATGGGAGTGTTTCCTTAATTTCTCTTTCAGATTTTTCATCATTAGTGTATAGGAATGCAAGAGATTTCTGTGCATTAATTTTGTATCCTGCAACTTTACCAAATTCATTTATTAGCTCTAGTAGTTTTCTGGTGGTATCTTTAGGACTCTCTATGTATAGTATCATGTCATCTGCAAACAGTGACAGTTTTACTTCTTCTTTTCCAATCTGTATTCCTTTTATTTCTTTTTCTTCTCTGATTGCCGTGACTAGGACTTCCAAAACTATGTTGAATAATAGTGGTGAGAGTGGACATCCTTGTCTTGTTCCTGATGTTAGAGGAAAAGCTTTCAGGTTTTCACCATTGAGAATGATATTTGCTGTGGGTTTGTTGTATATGGCCTTTATTATGTTGAGGTAGGTTCCCTCTATGCCCACTTTCTGGAGAGTTTTTATCATAAATGGGTGTTGAATTTTCTTTTTCTGCCTCTATTGAGATGATCATATGGTTTTTATTCTTTAATTTGTTAATATGTTGTATCACATTGATTGATTTGCATATATTGAAGAATCCTTGCATCCCTGGGATAAATCCCACTTGACCATGGTGTATGATCCTTTTAATGTGTTGTTGGATTCTGTTTGCTGGTATTTTGTTGAGGATTTTTGCATCTATATTCAAGAGTGATATTGGTCTGTAACTTTCTTTTTTTGTAGTATCTTTGGTTTTGGTATCAGGGTGATGGTGGTCTCATAGAATGCGTTTGGGAGTGTTCCTTCCTCTGCAGTTGTTTGGAAGAGTTTGAGAAGGATGGGTGTTAGCTGTTCTCTAAATGTTTGATAGCATTCACCTGTGAAGCCATCTGGTCCCAGACTTTTGTTTGTTGGAAGATTTTTAATCACAGTTTCAATTTCATTACTTGGGATTGGTCTGTTCATATTTTCTATTTCTTCCTGGTTCAGCCTTGGAAGATTATACCTTTCTAAGAATTTGTCTGTTTCTTCCAGGTTGTCCATTTTATTGGCATAGAGTTGCTTGTAGTAGTCTCTTAGGATGCTTTGTAATTCTGTGGTGTCTGTTGTAACTTCTCCTTTTTCATTTCTAATTTTATTGATTTGAATCCTCTCCCTCTTTTTCTTGATGAGTCTGCCTAATGGTTTATCAATTTTATCTTCTCAAAGAACTAGCTTTTAGTTTTATTGATCTTTATGATTTCTTTCCTTCTACTAACTTTGGGTTTTGTTTGTTCTTCTTTCTCTGGTTCCTTTAGCTGTAAGGTTAGATTGTTTATTTGAGATTTTTCTTGTCTCTTGAGGTAGGCTTGTGTTGCTATAAACTTCCCTCTTAGAACTGCTTTTGCTACATCCCATCGGTTTTGGATGGTCGTGTTTTCGTTGTCATTTGGGTATTTTTTGATTTCCTCTTTGATTTCTTTGGTGATCTCTTGGTTATTTAGTAACGTATTGTTTAGCCTTCATGTGTTTGTGCTTTTTACGGTTTTTCCCCTGTAATTGATTTCTAATGTCATAGCGTTGTGGTCTGAAAAGATGCTTGATATGATTTCAATTTTCTTAAATTTACTGAGGCTTGATTTGTGACCCAAGATGTGATCTGTCCTGGAGAGTGTTCCATGCGCACTTGAGAAGAAAGTGTAATCTGCTGTTTTTGGATGGAAAGTCCTATAAATATCAATTAAATCTATCTGGTCTATGGTGCATTTAAAGCTTGTGTTTCCTTAGTAATTTTCTGTTTGGCTGATCTGTCCATTGGTGTAAGTGAGCTGCTAAAGTACCCCACTATTATTGTGTTAGTGTCGATTTCCTCTTTTATAGCTGTTAGCAGTTGCCTTATGTATTGAGGTGCTCCTATGTTGGGAGCATATATGTTTATAATTGTTATTATCATTATGTAGTGTCCTTCCTTGTCTCTTGTAACATTCTTTATTTTAAAGTCTATTTTATCTGATATGAGTATTGCTACTCCAGCTTTCTTTTGATTTCCATTTGCATGGAATATCTTTTTCCATCCCCTCACTTTCAGTCTGTATGTGCCCCTAGGTCTGAAGTGGGTCTCTTGTAGACAGCATATATATGGGTCTTGTTTTTGTATCCATTCAGCGAGCCTGTGTCTTTTGGTTGGAGCATTTAATCCATTCACGTTTAAGGTAATTATCGATATGTATGTTCCTATGACCATTTTCTTAATTGTTTTGGGTTTGTTTTTGTAGGTCCTTTTGTTCTCTTGTGTTTTCCACTTAGAGAAGTTCCTTTAGCATTTGTTGTAAAGCTGGTTTGGTGGTGCTGAATTCTCTTAGCTTTTGCTTGTCTGTAAAGCTTTTGATTTCTCTGTTGAATCTGAATGAGATTCTTGCTGGGTAGAGTAATCTTGGTTGTAGGTTCTTCCCTTTCATCACTTTAAGTATATCATGCCACTCCCTTCTGGCTTGTAGCGTTTCTGCTGAGAAATCAGCTGTTAATCTTATGGGAGTTCCTTTGTTTGTTATTTGTAGTTTTTCCCTTGCTGCTTTCAGTAATTTTTCTTTGTCTTTAATTTTTGCCAATTTGATTACTGTGTGTCTCGGCGTGTTTCTCCTGTATGGGACTCTCTGTGCTTCCGGGACCTGGGTGGCTATTTCCTTTCCCATGTTAGGGAAGTTTTCGACTATAATCTCTTCAAATATTTTCTCTGGTCCTTTCTTTCTCTCTTGTCCTTCTAGGACCCCTATAATGTGAATATTGCTGTGT